TGTGACATCTTGATCCAGATTTCAAACTGCAGGAAAAACCGAGTGCTGACTTGTGAATGAAAATGTATTTGCCATGGACGACGGGGAGGGGTGGGAACAGTTGTCCAGAGAAATGCTTCACGTTAATAATTGGGTCTCCCTACATCCGCAGCTGGAAAACAGAATTAAATTTAGGGCAAGAAAAACCAACTGGATACTGATTGTTGGGGGAACAGGGTCGCACAAAGAAACACAGGCGTCTGGTGTGTAGGAGACAGACATGGCTGCGCGAGAAGCTTCCTGGTCTTCGGAGATGTGCAGCTTGCACTGAGCCTTGCTCTTTGGAATTCACAAACGCTTGTTCAGTATTGGGGTGATGGGTGATGGCAGCAGTGTGCCAGGCAGGGAGAGAGTTCAGGAATGAGTTGGACATGGGCTGACTCCTGGAGCTCCATCTGAAGGAGGGGAGAGGTGCTCACAGCCAGCGACTGAGGGCTGAGCCTCCTGAGGCCTGGGCTGCTACAAAGACTCACGAACAATGAGTAATGGGTAAGGGGAGCTGAGGCCTAAGTATGGATTCTGATTAGGGTGACAGGGAGATGAAGGGTCTGCATTTTCTTTCATCTTAAAGGCAGCGTGTTTTAGCGGAAACTGAGTCAGAACAAACGTGGGTATAAATTCTGGCTCTGCCACTTACCAGCTTTGTGATCATGGGTGAGTTATGTGACCTCAGGAAGCCTCTGTTTCCTCATGTAAATGACACCTACCTCCCAGGATTGTCGTTACCGAGAGATAAGCCAAGACCAGGACCTAGGCGGTCCATGGCACAGAGCAGACGCTCAATGAAGTCTACCTGCTTCTTCCACAGTTAAGTCAGCTTTGGACTCAGGACATAAAGGCACTGAAGGCCTGGGCTTCACATCTGATCAGGATTTCTATTTCTATTCTCCCAGGGTGGCTCCTTTTCAGAACACAGTGGGAAGAAATTCAGCCCCGATTCCAAGCTCTCCAGAAGGTAACAAAGGAGAAACAGATTTTCCAGGCAGCTACACTATGCCCAACGCTTGCCCAGTGAGATGACTTGGTTATTATGCTTGCTGAACTTCTTTCCATTCTTTCCAGAGGACCACTTCCCAGGGCAATGCCACAACTCACTGCTGCGCACCTCAGAGTGGGTGACTTTAAGTCCAAGGTGATGATGGTGGCAGTAGACACGGGGCCTCGCGGGTATGCGGCTGAGACACTGGGAGCAGGACCGTGGCGAGGTAACTAAACACTAGACATAATGAACATGGGAGCACACGGAATGACAGCAGAGACATCATTCCGAGGTCCACGACATAGGAATCCCTTATCGAGCCATTTCCTGCAGCTTGAATACTCCTAGGGACAGAGACCTCACTCCTCTGAGAGGCCGCACTTTCCTCTGAAAATCAGCCCGGATAGTCTGAAGTTTCTCTCTGCTCTTGAGCCCAGATTTGTCCTCAATTGTTACAAAACTTGGGCCTTTCTCCTAATCATAGGACATTCCATAAGCCAAGTGGAGGCCCTTGCCTGGGGTCCAGGAGAACAGCCCTCACCGGCCCAGGAGATGCTTCCACACAGCCTTGTGGGTCTCACTGGAGCCCCGAGATGTTGGAAGAAGATGGTCACCATTTTCATTCAGGAAAATGAGACCCAGAAAGTCAACGTGATTGACAAAGATCACACCCAGTGTGCGGGGAAAGACTCTCGGGGGGTCTGATCATTCCTTTCAATTACTGAATCCATGTTTCATCAGAAGGGAATTAATGTCAAGTCCAACTTATCAATTTGACAACCTGTGCCCTTTATTTACAACTATGCCAAGGTTTTAAGAATCTCTCTTTTGAAGGCCCCCAAAAGTTATTACTGATAATTAGAAAGTCTTTTATGCCTAACATAACTACATAAAAGACTTTTAAACTGGGCAATTATGAGGTGAAGGATAAAAAAATAGTTTTCAGCCATAAGAATATTGGGAGGGGACCCGAGGGGAGGAGAGAAAAAAAATCACCAAGAGTTTCTCATGTGAAAAATGACATGAACCATACCAAGGCTTAGGTCTATGTCATTGAAACAGTTGACCCCCACAGGAAGTTTCAGCTAAGCTCAGTGTTGTGGGTCTCAAACGGGTGCTTCGCAGCCTGTCTGCACCGCCCACCCAAACACCCACGGTGGAACTGGACACGCTCGAAGGCTAATAGTGCAGAAAGCACTGAGTAATGAATGCAATTATGGGGTGCCTAGCACGCACCTTGCTCTCCACTCAGGAATGTACATTTCTGACGCACCCAAAGAGGCAGGCTACTGGTCCAAAGAACACGACCAGCATTATCAGCTGGCACAAAGGAAGACCACCTGTGTGTCCTCGTTTCTCTGAGATGGACATTGATGATAAATTAATCCACTGAGTGCTACCAAGCATGGACTCAGGAGCCAGGGGGACCTCAGTGATTTGCCTAGAAGACACTCTTTCTCTCTGCCTATTCCGATCCCGGTCCTCTTCAGCGCTTTGCCCAAAGTATACCCTCTTGCTTGAAACCTCCCTGTCTCTCCAGCCATTGAATATTTCCTGCCAGCAAGTATTACTGCCATTGGATTTTGGAGATACAGCCATAAAAACAGACCTGAAGCGTGTATTTCCGGGAGTGACTGGGATTAATCCTGATCTTGGCTCAGAGTCTCTAGGAAAAGGTGGAGGGGAGCACAGCATGACCCTAAGAACAAAGCTGTTCGGAGGAGGGGACACTAAAGGCCCACATGAAAATAAGCAAACAACAGCATCCTACCGTGTTACGTGTGAGAGCAGAACCTGAGCGGGGCCAGTGCAGCGGAGCATCCTAAGGTCATGGGGCCAGAAGGGGTGTGGCAAGGGCCAGGAGGGGCAAGGCAAGGGCCGGGACGAGTGACTGTGAGGGAGGAGAGGAGAGATGGAATGGGCTTTCAGTCTGGACCTGGGGCCAGCTGATCGAAACAAAACTGTGCTCCCCTACCTTGATGCACTGAGCTAGGCGAGACCAGTAAGAAACATGATGATTCTAACTTCTGCCGTGCTAACACTCTGGAATCCCCAAATGTGCTGCCCTACTGAGGCTCTGTCCTCGGGAGAGTGAAGACAAGCCAACGCCTGAGGCTGCAGAGAGGCTCTGGGGTTGATACTGAGGGATCCCACCGGCTTCAAGGTCTACAAAAATCTACACGTGCACATGGTTTGTTGAGGTGAGGAAGAGTCTACCATCAAAATCTGAGATCAGAAACCCCAAGAAGAGTTACTTTAGAAACAGGGACGATTAAAAGTTGTTCCTATACTCAAGGAGCCCACGGACAAGTAGAAGAAACACAAAGCATCATGACAGCCCCCAGCTATGGGCTCTCCCTCTGCACAAGCACTGGGTTGATTCACACACCTGAGCTCATTCAGTCCGAACACAGAAACACTTGGGCAGGTACCAGCATTGACCCCAAAGCCAAGACTTTTAAGGAACCCAAGACCAGTGGCTCACGTGGATACATTGAGAGAGAACAACAGTCCATTGTGACCATGGCAAAGAGGAGTCAGAGGATCCCTGCGGGGCTGATTACAGAGGGGTGGGGAGGGCTTCCCGGAGGAGAGACGTAGTCACCTAGGACACTTGGCAATCCCAGCCCAACGAGAACTGTTTGCTGGTGCGTTGCTTGTACCAGCACCAAATGGAAATGCTCTCATTTCATCTAACCCGTAGCCCCCATTCAGGGTCTTACGTGAATGTCTTCTTTAATCCTCCAAACTACGCTACAAAGTAGGCCTGACTTTGACAGCTGACAACACCAAGGCCTAGAGGTAGGGACCGCTGCTCGGGGACCCATTGGTGGCCAGGATGAGAGCACACCCGGATCTGACTCTGAAGATCAGGCCATTTGTTTGAGGGTTTCCCCAAAGACAGCCAACGCCCTCCCCAGGGCCCTGTGAAGGCAGGACCCAAGGAAGAAGACACTGAGCAGTGGGTAGAGCAACAGGCAGCTGGAGTTCCCCGGACTCCCTGCGTCACAGGCTTGACTTGCGTTTGCCCTTTCGGCTACAGAGCGGAGGAGCCCAGCCGAGGGACCACGGCAGGGATGTTTGGAGCAGAGGTGCCCTGGCGAGTCCTCCAGGGAGACAGGTCTACAGGAGGGAGTCTAGGGGACAGGAAGACCCAGCCAGGGGAAGAGGTGAGCTATTTAAAGTACTTCTGAGAGGTTTAGGCAACTTCCCAATACATACGCTATTTTCTCCTCAAAATAGCCTTGCAAGTTGGAGTCAGTACCCTTTGGTGGATGAGAACACGGAGGCTCGAAGGTCAGGGGAAGCTGTCAGACGTCCCACCGGTGGTCAGAGCAGGAGCTGACGTTCCCACTGCCTCCGTCTGCCTCTCCACCAGAACCCGTGATCTTTACCTGCTGCTTCTAGACTTTCACACGAGTCGAAATCATTCAGGGAAGAGCCGTCCGCACCAGCAGGGGCCTGCAGGACTCGGTGGGCACAGCCGGTTGGAGCCACCACGGGCCTGCGGGGTCCGACACAGCGGTCCTCCGCAAGCCGGCTACGCATGGCCTGATCCAGCCTCTGCCCACTGGCTGGACCCTTGTACACTCCAGGGGGCCCGACTAGTCCTTTTCCCACAGGCCCTCTGAAACTGTCACTTTGAAGCTGGGTGGCTGAAGATCTTCCCAGAACAGACACTGCCCCCTGCTTGACCACGGCTGGAGACTTTGCCATGGACACCCGAAAGCTCGCGTCCCTTGGACACGGTGGTGGGCACAGTCCATCTCACTCCAGCACACGGAGCCGGACCTCCACACGAATCGGCACCCCTTCCTCGCCCCACCCGTCCACCCTCACGCTTCCTTCCGGCTGACCCCCGAGGAGTGCCAGCAGGCCATGTGGGGTGCGACCCTTCCCCAGAAGAGGGGTTCCTTTCCTCGGGGTGTCGGCCTACGACTCCAGGTCACGCGACCTGGCAGTAGAAAGGAGGCATACTTACACTTACAGGTTGACTTTTTGGCACATCATAAACACCTTCCTTCTTTTGGCTGGTGGGAACCTATGGAAAAATCAAATTCGACACAGTCAGAACACTCTGGTGTTCCATTTTGAAAGAACAAAGCAACCAGAACGGAACTCCAAGCTGGCTAAGTGTGAGAGCTGCCCTGAGGTCCCCGGGCCCTGCAGGGGCTGTGGAAGCAGCCGGGGCCTCTCGGGGACCCTGGATAAGGAGCTGGGTGTGTGAACCAGTTAACAGATCTGCAGGGCGTCTCTGCCTTCGGGGCCCCCCAGAATCACAGAACAGGAAGCTGCAAAGACGTCAGCCACCATGTGAAAACCATCCCCATTTCATCGAAGACAAAACCGAGGCCCAGCGAGGTTCTCGGAGTTGCTCTAAGCGAGTATTTAAAACAGTTTGCAGCTCAGCTTACACTGTTCCACCCTAGGGCTGAGAGCCAAGCTATCTGAGGTGTAGCAGGTATCAAGGTCCTAGCACAGAGCACCGCTGCTGCTGGGGTCCTGCGCAAGCACGGGTAATCACCAGAGGCTTTTGTTCAAGACAAGGACCCAGAAAGGGCATGAAGAGCATGAGCCTACACTCCAGAAAAGTAACAAAACAAAAAAACTACCTTATTTAAAACACACACACACACACACACACACACACATCTGTATCTTCTCTCCCTCTTTTCTCTTACTCAGCCATCCGGTCTGGTTGGGCCCCATGGTGACTGTCACACCCTAAGCTGGTCACTTAGCTCCTCTGAGCTACAATCTTATAAAACAGGTGCTGTGGGCTCTGCTTCTCACTCAGAGAATTGTGCGGATCAAATGAGAAAATAGACAGTCAATAATCAAACACAATTAGGCACCATAAGACTGTAAAATGTTAAAATGATAGCTTCTTTTATCATTAACACATTATACACACACACACACATACTCTTTATTATACTAACAACAGTGGATACGGTGAATACTGTTCCCAGTTGTCAATCAAGGGTTTTGTACTGAAATGTTCCAGATTGAAAGTAATCATGAACTGTCATCCCAGCACCTAGCAGGGCTTAGCTCTCACCTCCACCGGAGGGACCAGCCAGCAGCAGTTTCAATGGTGTGATAACATGACTGTCATCAGCCAGGGAGTTCCTGAGGGGCCGGCACAGTGCCTAACACCCAGTGGGCATTCAGTGCGTGTCTGCTGGGCCAATGTTTCACAGAGGAATGTGAGAAATGGTGAGGAAAAAAATACCTTTCAGGCTCGGGCCAGGTAATCACAACATCCTTAGAAAAGTAAGAATGCGTGCTTATTCCTTGAGTTTGTCGTTTTTGCTCCCATTTAACTTAAAATCCTTACACTAACCCTAAGAAGTGGGTATTATATCCTCTACTTTAAATAGTAGAAAGTGAGACTCAGAGATGGTCTGGAAATGTGCCCAAACCCAGCTCTTTCTGGCTACCAAACAAATGTTTACTACTAACAGTGTGCGCTATCATCGATGAGGCCTCTTCTGTGTGCAGGTAACTATTCTAAACATGTGTTTATGTCCATTCCCATGTACGCCCCAGGACCGGACAATCAGGCAAGGATGACAATTGTCCCTGTGTCCAGAGAGGGTGTGCAGGGGCTGAGCAGGGGAGCAGGAGCTGGAGGCCGGGCAGGTTGCCCCTTAGCTCCCATACTACACGGAGAGCGGTATCTGGCCCCTGTTCCCGCCGGTCCCGCCGGGGGCTTCTTTTTCTCTGACATCACATTCCACACTCCCAGCAGCCCGTGCACATTCTTGTGGAAAACGAGGCTGTGTGTGAGCACGTGCAAAGATGCACCCCAGAGCTGCTCTTGCAAACCTGGTTTCAGGGAGCCAATGAAGAACGCGGTTTCTCTGCTCTGATACCTGGGCTTCGTCTGAAAGGAATCCTCGAAGAAGCCCAGCGTCCTGGTTAGTCCGATAAATCACCAGGCCTCACTTTACGTCTCCTCTCTCGCCCTTTCCTGAGCTACACGGACAGCGTGTCCGTCCCCTGTATTTCACTGCTCAGTGTGGGAAAACCGAACCAACTCCGACTCCATGATCCCTGCAAACGGAGGGAAGGCGGTGGGATGGGTGAACCCAAACTTGCATAATTGAAGAAGGCTTTTCTGCTCGGCTCTCCCATGGGTGAGATATTAATGTGCCTGTTTGTCCTTTAAGATTTATCTCCGTCGGGACATCTCGGGAGCCTTGCCTGACTGTCCGGTCTGAGTTTGAGCCCTTCTCGGTACTCCTGTAGCCTCTGGTGCGCCCTTTCATTAAAACATAAAAGTTGCCAGGTACCAACTGTGTCACGCACCACGCTTTGCCTGGAACCATGAGGGAAAACCAGAAGGATGTGGCCCCTGACTGCCCAGAGCTGTTGTCCTGCTGGGGAGCTGGAAGAGAAACCAGGCTGCTACAGTGGAGGGGACCACCTATGCAGGACTTGTGAGACTGCAGGGCAGCTGCCTGGTCCTCCCCCGCCCCCCTCCCCCGCTCTGCCAGCTCGCAGAGGCCAGGGCACATCTCCTATCCTTGCTCTCCCACTGTAAATGCCGCTTGAACACGAAGCGTCGAAGCCTCAAGCTCTGACCACGTGTGTGCTGAGGGCAGGGCACTGGCAGCGGTGCTGAGGGATGAGGACCAGTTCAGTGGTGCGATGCTGTACAGGAAAGCAGCTCTGGATGTAGAGGACGCGGGAGATCTGGTTCCTAATTCTGCTCTGCCACAGGCTGTGACCTCAGGAGTCACTGGTTCTCCGAGCTCAGTTTCCTCACCTGGTGTTGTGAGCATCCAAGGGGTTGCCTATAAGTCCTGGAGGGTGGGGACCATGCCGTGGTCACTATTACATCCCCATGGACCCAGCACTCGCTAAGTGCTCGATACAGAATTATGATTTTATTTAATTTTTAAATGTGTTTTTATTCATTTTTTAGAGAGAGAAACATCGATGTGAAAGAGAAATATCAATTGGCTGCCTCCTGCACAACCCCCACCAGGGATCGAGCCTGCAACCCGGGCCTGTGCCCTGACTGGGAATCGAACCAGGACCTCTCAGTCCATGGGACGAAGAAGCACAGGGCTCAAATTACTTTTTAAATGAACAAGTTAACAGATGTGAAATGACTCTAAGAACTGCCTCTTCAGTACTCTACATACAGAGACACTTTCAGTTCGGCAACACATTACTAGCGTGGAGAGGCAGTCTGAGGCCTGTGTGACATGGGACCAGAGACTTCTCATTTTAAAATACTGAAACTTGGCACAGCGCGGGTGACTGAAGATGACTTCTGCGTGAGCACGACTGGGAATTCCGCAGAGGATGCTGCGATGTCACGCACGCACGCGGCTTACTAAGAAGCGAAAGAACTCAGTTTAGAATCACAGGCTCTGGCCTGGGACCCGGCACTTACATGGGAGCACGTGACTTTCTCACACTGAGAATGACAGTCCTTGTGACAGTCACGATGACGGTCATCCCAGCTGTTCTGATCTCACCGAAGGAACCGAAGGGTCGAAACTGAGTGAGGTGTAAAACCGCTTTTCAACCGCGAGGCTCCGTGTGGTTTGAAGGGGCACCTGCTACCTTTTCCTAGGCGTGCCAAGGGAAGGGCAATTACTCGTATTAATACTGTTTGGAAAATGAGGCTGATGAACCCCCAAGAGAGGCTACGTTTGCTCAAGGGCCTCCGTCTCCCTCAGGCTGCAGTTACAGTGCGAAGTCGGGAGCGGCCGCAGCCTTCTGCTGGGCTCCCTGACCAGACAGGGTGAGGGAGCCAAGCTCTCTGCCCGCTCACTGTCCTCCTCAGACTCCCCGGGCAGCAGCAGGTGCTGGGGACGGAACGGACATTTACCCGGAAACCGTGAGGTCCCAAGTGCCGCCCGTCTGCTTCACATCTTCCCGTCACTTCTAGAAGCAGACACTATCCCGCCCCTAGTTGACAGCTCAGGAAATTGACATACAAAAGTTATGTACTCGCTCGAGGTCATAAAATACTTAAAGGATTAGGACCCAGGTCCCTTGACCTCATTCCAGAAAACAGATGGCATGAAATCCGAGTCCAAGCTGGGCCAAGCTGCGGGGTAAAACAGTGATGGAACACGGGAGGCCCTTAAAATACGAGGCTCCTAGAAACAGCTCCCGAAAAGCCCAGCCACCCCTTCAGGCCCAAGAGTTTATCTCGTGTTAAGCCAACTGAGGCCTAGCCTGGCCACTGCGAAAGGGGAAAACAGCGACCCGAGATCTTTGCAATAACCTTCCTGTTAACGAGGGGTGGACAGGAAGGTCCGGAGGTCAGAACGGTCACACAAGTGTGATTTCTAGATAGTGACTTGAAATGTGTACAGATCTGATTGTGCAACTGGGCATCAGCATATTCTGAACTGAAAGGGACTCAGGATTAATCTCTTCATGCACAGAAGTCAGAGAGACAAGGATGCCTCTCGTCGCTCGGTGACTTCGCGGGTTTCTCTCCTCTGTAATGTGGACACGACGGTTCGGGCCACATAGGGCTGTGATGAGGGATACTACGATACTGCATATGAATCCTCGTTCACAGAGTGGCCCACAGTCAGCACTCAGCGTGTTACCAAAACCACACACAGACACACCGTTCCTCGGGGTCCCGTTGCCCCGTAAAGCAAGCCAACATGCTCCTCTAAAGAATCTCAGGCCTTTGCTGAGGCAACGGGCAGAAAGGGGCATTGCCTGAGAGGCGCCTCAGTCTCATCGACCCATTTTACAGGTGAGTGAACTGCGGCCGGAGGAGGAAAGGAATCGGACACGGTGCGATAATGGCCGAGTCAGTAGCACCTGTACTAAGATCCCAAGTCCACACATGGTGGACTCAGTGTGTGACCCAGAGGAAGCCTATTCTGTGCTTTCTCCATGTGAGCTTGTTTCATTTTCATGCCAACATGTGACTGAGGGAGAAATTGTTCCCCAATTTTGTCATCGGGGGAACTGAGTCTCTGAGAAGGCAAGTACCTTGCCCACTACCACTCAGCCAAAGGTGGCTGGTGACAGAGCCAGAACCAGAACCCAGTTCTCCACTGGTCTACAACCCCTTTCCCCCCAGCCCCCCACAGGGTACAACAGAAGTCCTCCCAACTACAACCAAGTCTGAATTCAGAAACCTCTTATATCGAAGGGTCTATTATTTTGAAAGGTGCTCTCTACATTGTGCATATGTACCACAGCTTTCTCATCCACTCATTTACTGATGGGGTCTGGGTGAGAAAGGTGAAGGGGTTGAGAAAGACAGATTGGTAGCCACAGAATAGTCATGGGGATGCAGAGTACAGCATAGGAAATTCAGCCACTGATGTTGTAATAACTATGTATGGCACCAGGTGGGTACTGGACATATCAGGGGACCACTCTGTAAAGTATATGATTATCTAACCACTATGCTGTACCCCTGAAACTAATACAGAATAATACTGAATGCAAACTGTAACTGATACAGAAAAATACATAAAAAGGGCTCTCTCTTCAGAGGAATACTGGTGAATGGTTCCTTTGGCCTCATATGCAGACACTGTGAGGTTGTACTTCAAAATCTGTTTGAAGACAGAAAGTTTGTCAATGATGATTTTACACAAAGCCCCGAGGCACAGCCTCGCATGGACTCCCATCCAGACAGATGTGGTGGACAGAAATACAACGTGGGCATTAAGGTGCTGCCCCTACACAGCTGAAAATCTGCATCTAACTTTTCACTCCCCCAAAACGTAGTTGTCCCTGGGTATTCACTGGGAATCAGTTTCAGGACACCTCCTCTCCCACAGTGGACACCAAAACTGGTGGATGCTCAAGCCCCCGACCTGAAATGGCACAGATCAAGGCATCTAGTCAGCCCTCTGCAAACAGTGCAGGTATTTATTGAAAGAAATCCACATTAAGGGGGCCCATGTCGTTGAAACCCATCTGTTCAAGGGTCAACTGTGCTTAGATTATTATTCCACGGGGCTGGTTTACGCCAAGCTGCTAAGACGCTAACATTGCACTTTGGTCATTTAGAAATCTGTACATTTGATAGAAACTGAAAATGTTTTATTTTTATTACACAAGTAATGTGTGCCCAAGGCAAAATAACAGACCACACAACTAAGTAAATTAAGAGAATTAAAATCACTTATGAAAATACATTCCACATTCTTATTTCTCTTCATGTTTATATTCAAAGGAGGACTAAAATTCTAGTTGGTGACAAATTGGAGGCCGTCCTGTTTGAGTGACGTGTTGCTGGCTGCAATTTCCCAAACTCTGACGGGAAAGCAGGGGACGAGTGGGAGCTTTGGCTTCACACACTCGCCTGGGTTTGATCTCAGCTCCAAATAGCTGTACGGCCCCCAGAAAGCTGCTCAACTTCTCTGAGTCCCAGCTTCCCCGGTAAAAGTGGGATTCAGCTGCCGACTCAATGCACCACGTGTGAGGATGAAACGAGATAAAAGTGTGTGCGTGGTTTTCCACATAAGCAAACCTTTAAGAACGTGAGTTGACCTTCCCTGCAGAAGGGGTAAAATCTTTCCTCAGTGAATTTTCCTATTATTGTTTTCAAGTGCCAGTTTTGACTGCGTACTTCATTTTTAGGAGTGTGGTCAGCTTTTCAAAGAGATTCGATGAGCACATTTTTTTGAGAAACAAAGGACCCTGTTATATTATGGAGAACAACCCCTCCAATGGATTCCTTTAGTGAAATGGAGTATTTGATTTCGGGGTCAAGTGAAAATTGTTAAGAACCATTAAAAGTTAAAACACTGTACCGAACCGGCCGTCCACCATTCTGTCGGGCATGAAAACGACTGGTAAGTTGGAGGGAGCTGGCAGGCAGTTCTGGGGAGGTTCAGACAGCCCAGGGTGACCAGGGGGCGTGTGAGGGGACAGCCCTTGTCCTTCAGACCCAGCAGAGCATGTACTGGTAGAGGCGCAACGCTAAGAGAGAGAAGTGATTTTATACCTGATAAATGTTTTCTTCCGTTTCGGGGTCACGGATTGGCTCGTGTCCAGCCTCAAACACAATGTACTATTATGCCACGGCCAGAGAGGAAAGGTCAGAGGGAAAAGAAAGGGAGAAAAAAAAAGCATTTGGAATTCAAGGTACAAATCACAGTGAGCATTAAAGAAACAGGCACAAGAGAAAATATCTTAGAGAACACTGAAGTATTGCAATACCAGTGGGCCTCGCGCATTTCTGCCTTTTCTAAGGAAAACCGCCACTGCCTGGCAGCTAGTCCTTCCTGGTGGTTGCAGGGGTCCAGTATTCTCTCTGGAGATATAACCTCCTCATGCAATGGCACTGCTCTTGGTCATGTCTGCTTGGCCAGCACCGCTGAGTGGGAATGATGTCTCCTGGGAACACCTGGACCCCACCTTCGCAAATGCTGGGTCCCAGTGGTCACCCCCTTCACTCCTCAAGGCTCAGTTTCCTAAGCCAATGTTGGAGTGCTCAGAAGCCCCAAACTCCTTCATCCCATAAATATTGCCTTAATTACCATCTTAGCTTTAAATACTGGACATCGAACTGTCCGTGGGCATGCTTCTGACTCTAAAGGGCCGGGCCACTTCAAAAGGGCCAGCATTCTTCATTCTCCGCCAGCCAGCCAGCCGGGGCTGAGCTCACGCGGCAAACACACCCTGCCTCAGCCCTGCCAAGCGAGGGCCGGCGTCAGTGCCCCTTGGGCTTCTGGTCGCCTTAGATGCTGCATGCTTTTCCCAATGCAGGTTTCCATACGGTCTTACCGTTTGAATCCATATTATTTAATCCTGTCATAGCAGCTCTCTGTGTGAAAATATGCACTCGCATATATGTATATGGGACCCATCTATGACCCATGTGCGTCCCAGTTAGAAATAAGAGCTTCAGGTTTTCTTTTATGTCCAACAAGCCCATTTTGGGGCTTCTCTCTCTCCTTGAGACTAAGCACGGGGAACGAGAGGGCGAGGCCCCCTCTGCCCTTTTCTTCTGCATCTGCTTGAACAGAGCACACACCTGAGCCCAAGAGAAGGCATCTCTCTAGCACACCTGGGCGCCGACCTTGAAGAGAGTGCAGAGAAAGGTCCTGGGATGTCCCTGGGATCTCCCGCCCCCTCCTCACGACAGCCCCTGTGGCATGAGCCAGCTAATCAGAGGGCAGCCTGGCCGACGGGGGCTCGAGAGACGTCTCCTCACAGCCTTTCTAGGGCTTACAAACCATCCTTCGGGTTTGTGTTCAAATGTCGTCAAAATGTCAGCCCCCTTCTCCACTATTAACTCCGACACACCACCTCATTATTCCGTCTCTCTCGTGAACTCAGAATAGTCAAGAGACTCGGGCAAACGTGCAACTCCAGGCTCAGACCGTGGAGGGGCTGAGGCAGGGGCAAGAAAGGGGAAGCGCATCTCCAAGCCCCACGTCACCGCTGCTGGCCAGACTTCTGCCCGGCTTCATGGAAACTCGCTCCTGAGGGGCTGGCAGCCCGCACCCTCAGATAGCACCTTGGTCCCTCTCCAGGCCCTGCAGACAGGGGGTGCTTCGGGTCTCGGGCATAATGTCCATACCACAGGCCTAGCCATGTCTCGCCCTAAAACCCCGACTGTCAGAAATTACCTGGTACACAGGATCTTCCACATCCTCTTCCAGAATTGTCTACAGCAGAGTGAGGGTAGGGAGCGTGCAAAGCAGAGGATATAAAGGAGAGGTGTGAGACCGTATTCAGAAGTTACAGCACAGCAAAGAAACCAGCTCTGCGGAGGACAGGCTGGTGGGTCATTTGGTAGAAAACAGAAAAAAACATCAAAACCCTGTAGCCACCCCCACCCCACTGTCACAACAGCAAAAGCGTTCCTCTCCTTGTCCTCCCCCAAAATCTTCCTCTGGATTCAAGATTTCACTTTCCCTGACATGTCTCGAATTTCAGAGAATAAGGGATCATTTCTCGCCTTTGTGCCTGTAATTTACATGGTAACCTTTCATCTTGATTTCTCTTTGGCAGCAGCGGAGAAGCCCTGACTGTCAGTTTTCGCGTCTGTTTATTTTAAGCCTCATCTGTCTCCAGGGCCGGGATCAATTCACAGGTATACCTGATACACAGCTTGTTCACACTGCTTATCCTTTTGTGCCTTTTTTTCCAATTCTTCTCTTTGCTTCAATTCATAAATAAGTTGAAAGAGATCTCTCAGGTCCAGGATAACAGGTTCAGCCTGGAGTGAAAGGCGGTAGAAGGCATTAGTGAGGGAATGTGGCTGAGCTGCAGAGACGCATTTTCGTGTTTCCTGGCTGCAGCCCACAGTTCTTCCTTCTGCTATTAAACGAAAAGCATTCTGTCCTTAATTAATTCTACCTCGTTTATACTGCTTTAGCAAATTGCATCTAGGCTAAAGTTCATTTCTCCAACTAATTATATTTGTAAATTCATAATAATCATAGGCATAAAAGGCAATGCTTTTATTTATTAGTCATTTTGGATACAATAAAATTAGGGTAGGCCTTATGCAAAGTAGCTATTTGTTTTCTCTTATTTTCTTTTTAAATGAGGCTATGAACACAAGGAAACTTATTTGTAAACTGTGCCTCCATCCAGCTTAATCAGAAAGGAAAATAATTAGTCCTTGCGAAATACCCATTAGAAGAACAACGTGGGCAGGAGCGTGTTTCCCTGCTTCGAGGCTGTTTCTCTTTTCTAGATGGGCACCTCAGCATCAGCCTCGCTTGGTCACACGGCCGAGAGGGCGTGCAGGGACCAGCAGGGGGACTGTACTCTCTGGCCCCCGGAGTCAGGAGGGAAGGCGCCCTCCTGGGATGGGGTACTCACCGCCTGGGCTGTTTTGATGGCCACAAATCTGTGATTCCCTTCCTTGCCACACACGTAGCCAAAGGCCCGGTGATCTGTGATGTCCTTGGCGATGTAGGAAATTTCGTGAACAGCATGATGATGCTGAAGGGCCTGGGAGAGACAAAAGGAAGAGCATATTTCAGGCGACTTTCCCTTCGAGCTGTTAATCAATAAGAGATGTGTTTCAGCTACGTGCGAACAGGCCCGAAGGGCTTTGGAAAAGCTGTTTGGTCCAGATGGAAGGAAACAGAGTTGTGCCTGCCCTTGAGAGATGGCGGCTCCCCTCCCAGGTCTCGGTGCTGTGACCAGAGAGAAACAGGACTGCTCATATCCCGACTGCGCGTCTGTGGCGGTGGCTCCTTCAGCCTGCCAGAGCCAGGCAGCTTCATTCAGCGGTGGAGGCTTCTGCTACATCTTTCCTCATGACACAGCCCCGTCTAAGTTCTGGCTTGCTATTTAACACACTCACATACCGGCCGTGGCGGAAGATGTTCACTGTACGACCACAGGGGGAGCCATTCACAATCATAAAACCGTGCCTTGGCACAGTGACCACGATTTTCTGACAGATGGTGACTGAGCGTCTTGAGGAATAAACCCCTTCCTCTAACTTGTCCAAAGTCATCATTTGGGCTAGAGGTGGGGTCCCCCATATCTCTGAGGCTGTTCATGAGTTGGTCTCCCTGTCTGCAATGCCCACTGTTTTATTCACTTGCTTGAATCTTATTCCTCTTACAAAGGCCGTTTGAAATAGCACTGCCTCTGTGAAGCCTCCCTTGAACAAGGCTTGACTTCCCTCTCCCTGCAGAAATAAGTCCTCCCTTCTGTATTTCCATGGATGTCAGTCTCCAGCAAGAGTGAAACCCTGATGGACTCCTCGCACACAGCTCCCTGGGCCTGCTTTCCCAGACCGTCCCTCTCTGATGCAGTGGCCTGGTCCCTCGTCTGTCTTCCCCACCAGGCTGTCCTCCTTATCTCTGTCGTCCCAGCACCTGGCACTGTGCCTGGCCCATAGTTGTTGAAGAAGGTACATTGGGATAGCTGATCAGGAATCTGAACATCTTTTGAAACTGGCCTCCCTGCCTTTATTATCTAAAGCTTCAACAAATAATGTTCACCATCCTGTTGGTGATAGCAATCTTTACAACCCTTTTTCTACTAAATGTACTTAAAGAAACCCTCATTAAACAGTACTCTGCAAAGGGTTATGTATGCATCTGGGCATTATATAATCTATTTAAAATGCTTATAACTTTAGGGCCTTTCCATTTTCCTGGCTATTCAGAAGCTTGGATTCTAGCCTCTGTGTGCACATAAGGCATTCACTGCATCTCTCTGGACCTCAGTTCCTTCTTCTATCAAATGAGAGGTTTGTATCAGATCAGTGACTCCTAATCCATAGCCCTGGATCTACTGGGGTCATTAAAGGTAATAAAAAGAGCCCTCAAGCAATTTTCCACATTTAAAAAAGCGAAACAGAAATTCATAATTATCCCTAATAAGACTACATAATTCATTGTGCATGCAAATGAGAATGCCAAGTTTATTTGGAATTGTATCAGGTTACTGCTGTATTCTGGAGCTAATCTTTGGGCAGATTGTCTGTGGAAATTCATTATGGGTTCAAATACTTCAAATGGGAAAGTGCATGATTATCAATGCATTCTTTGGTGGACAAAATCCTCCTTACTGAGTCCATGGAGGGAGGGAGACATGGAACACAATGAAATAAACTATGAAAACACTGGGAACCGCTGGAGTCGATTTCTCTAAGGTCTTGTTCCATCTTCCCGGATCTGTTAGCCTTTAGAACCTCACACCACGCAGCCAGGCTCTGAGGACAGTGGGCATCTGCTTCTCTCGATGGTCACCACCTTAGTTGTGGACCACTGGCCCTGGCCTAAAACATCCATTCCCAGGCTGCTGCCATCCTTCTTAGCTTCTGACACGATGAGTCATCCCTGCAGAATTTGCTGCCATGCCTTAGCCTCCCAGAGTCCGATCATTCGCTAACCTCTCTACTCCCCTTGGAACTCGCCCTTTAGCTTCATGCCCTGTCCAGGCTGCCCACTGCCCACTGGACGTCATGCTTGGAGAGCGTTGTCAGTGCCCAGTATCCCTAGCCGCTCCAGTGGGCATAACTAGAATTCTAGTGGGTTTCCACCCAAATAAGGTTGGTTAAGAAGGAAGTGTTTGTTAATAGAATAATCAGGATCTGTTCATTCCTGTTTTCTTAAGAGCACATAGTTAGCCAGCAGAGGAAAACGGCTCAAAGAGCGGTCGCTTTTTCATGGCGTTAATGATGTAAAATTGATGAGACTTATATTCACTCTACATGGGGGTATTGATTTATAGGCTTTTGTGAGCTCCAATGGTAGGCAGCAGGGGAAGGGGGAGACAAAGACTTTCTCCTTTCCCTTTCCTGAAAGTACTTCTCTCTCTGCGTAATGTGGGAAATGTTATCCGTGGCTCCTATTAAATCAAAGTTTGACGACAGTGCCTTATTGATTGCCAAGTGGAATATTGCTCGAAAATTAAACTGCGATTAGAAGTCTTCCTGGTGGAATTAGACTTGACGATGATTGTGCGAGGGTAAAATATCACCTACGATGCAAGACAGCAGATGGAGATGTTGTAATTTATCTGAGAATCCTCATTAAGTGTTTTAAAATCAAAACATTTTAATGCCGATGATACCTAATAGTGCGCTGCAGAGTGTAGCTGTGTGTGTGCATACGTGCTTAAAGATATCTGTAACAGTGTCTGTCCCAGAGTTGATTTTATGACATGTTCAAAAGGATTGCTGGGAAAGTGGCTCATTCATTTGGAAACTAAGAGTCAGTGAGGGGATATGTCTCCACCCTGCAATCTTAACGGTGCAGGTATAATATAGATACTCAGAAATATAAATACAGTAGAATCCTGCTAATCCCACAGACGTATTATCGCATTCATCTTGGCAACTCAGAGGATCTTACAAATACTTGTTCACTGAGCCTCAAAATTGCTCCCGGTCTTCCAGTAGATTTTATCAACACAAGACAGTTGGAGCCATAAACATCACCAAATTCAACTCTGAGTTTATTCATAAAAGGATTGAGGGTCAGAGAGAATTCTGGCAGGACCAGTACCAACCCCAGGTCCTGTTCTCCCTTCTCAGGATGACAAAGATTGAAAAAAGGAGACAAAATTGTATAGAATCACGGTCTCCTTCCTTTAGGTCCCTAGTCCAACAAGAAAACCACGACCCCCGATGGGCTGGGGTGAGGAAGGGGACTGAGTGCTGGGTAGGGAAGCAGAACCGATGCTGTTCTGATTCCAGCCGGTATGTGAGGTCAGAGAGGGTCACAAGTCTGGTTTGGGTAAAGGCTAGCTATAAGGGCCCCAAAGGAAAAGGGGAAGTCATCATGCTCTGGAGCTAGGTCATCGGTGGTATGCGCTGAGCAGCCAAGACGGGAAAGGTGAGATCGGAGATACAGACTGCTTCCTCCCAGGGTTCCCGGGGAGCTCCTGGGCCTTGGGGAAGGCGGGCTGAAGTGGCAGGGGGTGGGGGTGGAGGAAAGACACATTCTGGTTGTCCTTATTCCACATTTATTTTGGAAAACAATTTTTGTCTCGGAAAATCTTAGTCTAGGTATTAAAGCACTGCCCCAAATCAAAGCGGTGTCTGGTTTTACAAATAGAGGCTTCAAGCCCTGGCCAGTTTGGCTCAGCGGTTAGTGTTGGCCTGTGGACGGAGGGTTGTGGGTTTGATTCTGGTCAAGGGCATGTCCCTGGCTTGGTGGTTCGGTCCCAGGCCTTGGTGGGGGTCATGCGGGAGGCAAACAATCGATGTGTCTCTCTCATATTGATGTTTCTTCTCTTTTTCTCTCTCCCTCCCTCCCTTCCACTCTATCTAAATATCAAAGGGAAAAATATCCTTGGGTGAGGATTAACAAAACAAAACAGAGGCTTTAAGCCCTGGCTGGTGTGGCTGAGTTGGTTGGAACATTGTCCCATACACTACAAGTTTTTGGGTTCAATTCCCTGTCAGGGCACATGCCAGGGTTGCGGGCTCCATCCCAGGTAGGGGGCACGCAGGACGCAGCCGATCCATGTTTGGCTCTCATGTCAATGTTTCTCTCTCTCTCTCTCTTCCTCCCTCTCTAAAATACCAATTAAAAGTTAAAAATGGGGGGGGGAGGGCTTTCAAGAACACGCTACCTCTGCCACAGCTTCATCTATTCCTCCCATTCAGAACCCTCTTCATTACAGTGTGGGTGAAAGTTTTCACTGAACATTTCCAAGGACGATTCAGAGATCAAGCTCCTCAATCCTTCCTTTCTCTGACCGTCCTTTCTCAGCCACAGATAATCTGAAGAACTCATCACTCACACTGTGGGTCTGCACCTTCCCACCTCTGTGCCATTGGTCACGTTGGTTTCGCTGCTGATTTTGCTCTTCATCCCTGACTCACACACTTCATCGATTCCACATAAACTAGATCACATCAACTTCAAGGCCTTGCTCCAACATCCTGCTCATCCAAGGAACCTTCCCTGACTGTCCCATTTCCCTTCGTCATAATGCCTGCCCCTAGAACTCACGGCATTGTATTTGTTCTCCTAGCTAGGATGTTTCGCACTTCTTAATTTGGTTTCACATTCATCCATTCATCCAGTTACTCACCCCATGCGTATTGAGCACCTGTTATGTTTCAGGTCTCACACTAAGTGCTACATCTATCCAGATGATTAAAACACAGTCCCTTCCAGGACCTCGAAATCACATAACACAGGGAGACAAGGACACTGCCAACCACACTATAACAAGATAAGCTTTATATTTAAGGGGTGCGTGGGGCGTCACACAGACTCAGAGCAGGAATAAGGAAGGGAACCAGGGAAGTTTGGACAAAGAAGCTGGCCTTGAACAGAGCCTCAAAGGATCAAAGGGGAGTCCCCAGAAAATCAGGGGGAAAGAGCATGCTAGGCAGAAAGAACTGAGCATGTAAAAGCCTCGAGGTCCTGAGAATGGGGATGTTAGTTCCCTGAAAGAAAGATCAATGTCTGGTCCTCTTCAATCTTATCCTAGTTCCTAATACTGTTCCTTTTGAACTGTAAGTGCTAAAT